GATGCCTCCCCCCATAGGTAGACTCTCCAAGGAGAAAAGACAAAAGGTGTAATTATTAATAGTTCCCAATAGATGGCTCCTGAAGCACAGCGGTGATGGCAATGCTGTGTACACACCAGATTAGTTTCATGACCAAACATGCTATCATATCATAAACCAATACTACAAAATACAACAAAAGAATAGCCTTGGCCCAGGCCCCAAAGGAGGAAAAGTGCCAGCAAAACCTCAACTCTGGACTTGAGGAGAGCAGACTTCAGGCTGCTCAGGGAATTAGTAAGTAAGGTCCCCTGGGAAAATGTTTTTGTATGTGCTGGGGTCCATCACTGCTGGTCACTTTTCAAACATCACCTCCTAAGGGCACAGGAGGAGGCAATTCCCAAATGTCGGAAGTCAATACCCAGTCAACCCTGAAACTGCATGGGATCTACTGCTCAAGCTGAATCCCTATAAATCTATGGGACCTGATGGAATTAATCCCAGAATCCTCAAAGTGTTGACTGATGTTATCGCAAAACCTCTCAATGATTTTTGAGCCGTCTTGGGAATACGGAGAGGCCCCAGCTGACTGGAAGCTGGCGCAAATGTTGCCCCAGTTTTAAACAAGGGCAAGAAGGAAGACCCCAGAAACTACAGGCCTCTTAATCTCACTTCAGTGCCTGGTAAAGTTATGGAGAAGATTATCCTGGGAGGTATTGAAAAAAACCTGAAAGACAACATTGTCACTGGTCACAACCAGCATGGCTTCATGAGAGAAAAGTCCTGCTTATCAAACCTGATTTCCTTCCATGACAAGGTAACCCACTTAGCTGATCAAGGGAAGCCAGTTGATGTCATCTTTTTGGATTTCAGTAAAGCTTTTGATACTGTTTCTCCCAGGATCCTTCTGAACCAAATGTCCAGCACACAGCTGGATAAACACATCATGCGGTGGGTGAGCAATTGGCTCAGGTTGGGCACAGGGGGTAATAGTGAATGGGGTGACATCTGACTGGTGACCTGTCACTAGTGGGGTTCTGCTCCATCTTAGGCTTTGAGTTTTTCAACCTCTTCATAAATGACTTGGACACGGGGCTGGAAGGGATACTAAGCAAGTTTGCAGATAACACAAAACTGGGAGGAGCTGTTGACTCCCTTGAAGGCAGGGAGGCCTTGTGGAGAGACCTCGACAAATTAGAAGACTGGGCAATCACTGACCCTATGAAGTTCAACAAGGGAAAGTGACAGATTCTGCACCTAGGATGGGGCAACCCTGGATGTTCGTACAGACTGGGGAATGAGATGCTGGAAAGCAGCACTAATGGAAAGGGACCTGGGGGTCCTGGTTGATGGAAAGTTGAATATGAGTCAGTAGTGTGCCCTGGCAGCTAGGAGGGTCAACCATGTCCTGGGGTGAATCAGGCAAAGCATTGCCAACCGGTCGAGGGAGGTGACTATCCTGCTCTACTCTGCCCTGGTGCAGCCTCACCTTGACTATTGTGTGCAGTTTTGGTCACCGCAATATAAGAAAGATATTAAACTATTAGAGAGCGTCCAAAGGAAGGCAATGAAGATGGTGAAAGGCCTTGAGGGGAAGCTGTATGAGGAGTGGTTGAGGTCACTTGGTCTGTTCAGCCTGGGGAAGAGGTGATTGAGGGGAGACCTCATTGCAGTCTACCACTTCCTCATGAGGGGAAGAGGAGGGACAGGCACTGATCTCTTCTCTCTGGTGACCAGTGACAGAACCCGAGGAAATGACCTGAAGATGTGTCAGGGGATGTTTAGGTTAGGTATTAGAAAAAGGTTCTTCACCCAGGGGGTGGTTGGGTGCTGGAACAGGCTTTCCAGGGAAGTGATCACAGAACCAAGCCTGGCTGAGTTCAAGAAGCGTTTGGACAATACTCTCAGGCACATGGTGTGACTCTTGGGGATGGTCCTGTGCAGGGCTAAGAGTTGGGCTCAATAATCCTTGTGGGTCCCTTCCAACTTAGCCTATTCAGTGATTCTGTGATTCTGTAATAAACACCAAACCAGTGAACATATGCTGTAAGGTACTACAGAACACAACCCTGAAAACAAGCACAACAACTCTGATAGTAAAAAAAAATCAACATTGTTACCAGTGACTATTAAACCAATACAATGAATGCTACCAACAATTTAGTTTTAACAGTCTCTGGTCAGATCTGTTGTTACCTCAACCCTTTGTGCCCCACACTGGGCACCAAAAAGGACTGTCGCGATTTCACCCCAGTTGAAAACTAAAGTACCACACGGCTACTCACTCACTGCCTCCCCTCCTTCCTCTGAGCCTGTGGGATGGGGAGGAGAATTAAAAAACGTAAAACTCATGGGTTGAGATAAGAACAGTTTAATAATTGAAACAAAGTAAATAGTAATAATAATAATAATAATGATGCCTTTGGATTTTCAGGATTTTTAGTTTTTTGCAGATTTTAAAGTAGCTGTGCAGTAAGCATAGATTTTTAGTATAATTATATAGTCTGTCACACTTTAGAATTGTAGTTTACACTTACCCAACCCTATTTCCCTATTTCATATTGAATTTTCTAAATTCTTTAAGTTTGTTTAGACTCCTTTCAAGGCAGGCCTTCATTCTGTCTAAGAACATTTGCACCCCAGGCCTGAAACAAGATGCCATCATAGTCAAAGCAACCTTCAAGCCCTTAACCTTGGAGGAGTTCCAAAGACTGTACGTGCTGCGAAGAAGAGGAAGATGAGGAAGAAAGGGGTCTTAGGACCTCTGACTCAATTTCCGGGGAGGCGTGTCTGGGGAGGATCCGGGGGGTAGATAGTTCTGGGATTGGATGGATAATACCATAAATTATGGAACCCCTGGACACAGGGCGCATGCATTGTTTGTACTCCTTGCGCCTGAAGGTCTCATTAAAGACATGCTCTCTATCTTATCTCTACTAAATTAAATGTGCCTGGAGGTTTTTTTTACTCCCAATCTTAAGGCAACAATAATAATAGGGGGAGAGAGATAAAACTCAAAAAAAACAAGCGATGCACAATACAATTGCTCACCATCCACTGACTGATCCCGGGCCTGACTCCAAACTGCAATCAACCCCTCTTTTAGGAAAGTCCCCCAGTTTATATACTGGGCATGATGCTCTATGGTGTGGAATATCCCTTTGGCCAGTTCAAGTCACCTGTCCCAGTTTTGCTCCCTCCCAGCTTTTTGTGCACCTACTCACTGCCGGAGAATGAGACACTGAAAAGTCCTTGATTTAGAGTAAGTACCACTTAGCAACAACAAAAACATCAGTGTGTTATCAACATTATTCTCATACCAAATCCAAAACACAGCACTGTAACAGCTACTAAGAAGAAAACTAGCTCTATTCCAGATGAAATCAGGACAAATGGGTAATGTGCTTTTACATAACATTTCTTTATTTACCAGTAACCAACATATATTGCCTCAAGAAAAGATCAAAGGCAACTCAGACATTTTTGTATGGCAGAATTTTTTCAATTTCACAGAAAGATTCTATTGTCTTTAGAGGGGAAAGATAGGTGCCTATGCTTATTATAGATATGAATTTCCTAATTAGTTGATACCAGTTAGCCCCCCTACACCTATTAAGTTAGTATTTTTAATCTCTGAAAGCAGCTAAAACACAAATGCAGGGTTTTCACCAATGAATAAAAATTCAAGTTAAATAAAAAGGAATAAATGAGATCAACTAATCTAGCTTATTTACATAAAATACATCAAATACAAAATGTTTTTCTTTGTATGGTCACACTTTCAGTAGATAGATGGAAGCATAAAACAGACCTTTAATTAGAAAAATGCTTATTATATTCAAAAATACAAATCAAATTGTTGACATAATTGGGCAATTACACTTCTGATGATACATTTGCAAATGAGTGCTTCTGTATTCTGACACTCAGCCTCCAGATTCCCTTCCTTCTCTAAAAGAGATTAAATCAATTTAAACCAAATTAAATTAATATATAATTTACAGGAAAAACTATAAAGAAAAACACATGGAATGTAATTATCAAGAAACACTTTCTACTTTTTTTCTAAATTATAGAACAGGATGGTGGTTTGCCCTTGGCTAGACACCAGGTGCCCACCAAAGCCACCCTATCACTCCCCTCCTCAATTACTGTAGTGGGTTGACCTTGACCGGATGCCAGGTATCAACTAAAACCACTCTCTCACTCCCTCTGCAACTGGACAGAGGAGAAAGAAAAAAAGAAAACAGCTAAGGATTCATGAGCAGAGATAAGAACTGGGAGAGGTCAGTGACTGATTACCTTCACAGGCAAAACAACACTCAATGTGGGGATATTAAATTTATGACTAACAGGATAAGAGCCAAAGAGTGAGAAATAAAACAATCTTAAAAATACCTTCCTCCCATCCCTCCTTCCTTCCATGTTGTCCCTCTTCCCCCCCCCAGTGGTGTAGGGGGAGGGGGGATGGGGGGTTCAATCAACTGTTGTTTCTACCGCTGCTCAGAGAGAGGAGTCCTTCCCCTGCTCCCATGGGGTCCCTCCCATGGGAGACAGTCCTTGATGGACCTCTCTGGTGTGAGTCCATCCCTCAGGCAGCAGTTCTTCCCAAACTGCTGTCCCGTGGATCACTTCTCCATGGGGTGCAGTCCTTCATGAATGAGTTATACCGACGTGGGTCCCCCACAGAGGACACAAGTCCTACCCAGGAAAAATCTGCTCCAGCGTGGGCTTCCCTCTCCACAGGTTGCAGGTCCCCAGCAGGACCCTGCTCCATCCTGGGCCTCCCACAGGGTCACAACCTCCTTCATGCATCCACCTGCTCTAGCATGGGCTCCTCCATGGGCTGCAGGTGGGTCTCTGCACCCCAATGGTCCTCCATGGGCTGCAGGGGGACAACCTGCTTCACCACGGTCTTCACCACGGGCCTCAGGAGGCGCCACAGCTCTGGCGCCTGGAGCACCTCCTCCCCCCCTTCTGCACTGACCTTGGTGTCTACTTTGTTTTTCCCATGTTCTCACTCTGCTCTTCCCTGGCTGGAATTCTTTCTGCACCACAACCTTCTTTTCTTAAATATGTTATCACAGAGGCATTACTATTACTCCTAATTGGCTTGGCCTTGGCCAGCGGCAGGAAGTCCGTCCTGGAACCAACTGGCATTGGCTCCACCGGACAGGGGAAGCTTCTAGTAGCTTCTAACAGAAGCCACTCCTGTAACCCCCCCCTCTGCTACCAAAACCCAGTCACAGAAACCCACTACAATTACACAGGGAAAAGAAAATATAATGACAGTCTCATGAGTTGAGATAAGGGCAGGGAGAGTTCACTCACCAATTACTGTCACAGGCAAACCACACTTGACTTGGGAAAATTAACTGAATTTATTACCAATCAAAATCAGAGTAGTATAATGAGAAGTAAAACCAAATCTTAAAAACACCTTCCCCCCACCTGTCTCTCCTTCCTGGGCTTAACTTTATTCACGACTCTCTACCTCCTCCCCCCAGTGGCACAGGGGGACAGGGAATGGGGGTTATGGTCAGTTAATCACATGTTGTTTCTGCCACCACTTCCTCCTCCGGGGAAGAACTCCTTCCCCTGCTCCAGTATGTGGTGCCTCCCATGGGAGACAGTCCTCCACAAACTTCTCCAACATAATTGTCCTTCCAATGAACTACAGTTCTTAATGCCTGACAAATTTGGTGACCTTCTATGACAGGGCAGAGCAACTGTGATCATCTACCTGGACTTATGCAAAGCGTTTGACACTGTTCCGCATGACTTCTGTGAGGGTAGAATACCCTTTTTTCTGGAAGATTTTGTTACAAAGGAGACAGAGTTTTTGCTTTCTGCCTAAAAGGTAACTCTTTCTCAAAGGCAATTTCAATGCTTTCTCCCCCTCACATACCAAGGGAAGTGTTCAGCCTCTCTCGGATATGTGAGAGGAGAGAGGTAACACTTACAGAAATGCTACAGAGCCACTGCGACCTGGAGAGAGTTGGGGGGACCAACAATGATAAAGCCTGGGAGTAAACAGGAGGTTTACCTTTTCCCTGAGGCCCGGTGCTGTCTTGCAGTGCTGTGAAATAAGTTTTAATGTCCTTGACTCTGAAATAAACCTTTTTGAATCCTTTCCATTGCCTTGGCATTTTTGGGGAAGATACCTGCATATATTTTACCTTACACATCCTTGTCTCCAAATTGGAGAGACATGGATTTGATGGATGGGCCACTCAGTGGATAAAGAACTGGCTGGATGGTTGCACACAAAGAGTTGTGGTCAACAACTCACTGTCCATGTGAAGACCAGTGATGAGTGGTGTCCCTCAGGGGTTGGTACTGGGGCCAATACTGTTCAACATCCTTGTCGGCGACATGGACAGTGGGATTGAGTGCACCCTCAGCAAATTTACTGATGACACCAAGCTGCGTGTTGTGGTACACATGCTGGAGGGAAGGGATGCCATCCAGAGGGACCTTGACAGTCTTGAGAGGTGGGTTGATGCAAAACTCATGAAGTTCAACAAAGTGAAGTGCAAGGTCCTACACCTGGGTCATAGCAATCCCAAACAGACCTACAGGTTGGGTGGAGAAGGGATTGAGACCAGCCCTGCGGAGAAGGACTTGGGGGCGATGGTGGATGAAAAACTCAACATGAGCTGTCAGTGTGCGCTCATAGCCCAGAAAGCCAACACAATCCTGGACTGCATCAAAAGGAGCGTGGCCAGCAGGTTGAAGAAGGTGATTCTCTGCCTCTACTCTGCTAAGACCCCACTTGGATTACTGCATACAGTTCTGGTGCCCTCAACATAAGAAGGACATGGAAGAGTTGGAGCAAGTCCAGAGGAGGGTCATGAAATTAATAAGAGGACTGGAACACCTCCCCTATGAAGACAGGTTGAGAAAGTTGGGGTTGTTCAGCTCTGGAGAAGGTTGTGTGGAGATCTCATAGCAACCTTCCAGTATCTGAAGGGGGCCTACAAGGAAGCCAGAGAGGGACTCTTCATCAGGAACTATAGTGATAGGACAAGGAGAAATGGGTACAAATTGAAAGAGGGGAAATTTAGGTTAGACATTAGGAAATTTTTTACTGTGAGGGTGGTGAGACACTGGAACAGGTTGCCCAGGGAGGTTGTGGATTCCCCAACCCTGACAGTGTTCAAAGACAGGTTGGACAGGGCTTGGTCTAGTGGGAGGTGTCCCTGCTCATGGCAGGGGGGTTTGGGACTAGATGATCTTTAAGGTCCATTCCAACCCCTTAATTGATTCTATGAACTACTCCAGTGTGGGTCTAAAACGAGAAGATGCAAAAAGGAGTTCCAGAGTCAAAGACACATCCTCATGGAGGTACAGTCAATTGATTCCAAAAATACACACATTATCAAGGGTCCTACAGGGTTCACACGCTCTACTCTAACTCTCTATTCATTACATCCATTTTCACACTCTATATCTATAACTTTATTGGCTCTACTAGCCAAGGTACGGGCTCTGACATTTCCAGACCCTCCCATCTTGTGGTTTCTCACACCCTGGATAACATCCTCTTCTCTTGTTTATCTCTATGCAGCTTTCTCATATCTGTTGCTCAAGGACACACATCTGCTGCTCAAGGACACACATCTGCTGCTCAAGGACACAGGTCCCCATTGTCCAGCACGCAGACTGGATTGTGCAAGCAGACCTGAAGCAGTATATGTCCTGCATCATCTAAGATACTCTCAACAATTCCCACTTTTTCTTTTTGCACAATCCAGGCCTGATTGATGGTCTTTCACACCATATCTGTAAGACACTTCAAGATACACGGTACAATTATCAAAATAACTCAAATCACCAACAAAATAACTATTCCAGATTTTACCAAGTCTTATAGCCATCCTGATAATCCTAGATTTTTTAACCATTCTTCAAATGATGACACATTGACAGTAAGCTTTTTCATGTTGTCTTTCCACTTTCGGAGATCAGCTTGTATCGAGGTTGAATGATCTGAGAAATTCATACAACACATGCCTTCAAAATCTTCACATCCGTGCCCTTGTGCTAAAAGCAAAAAATCTATTGCAGTTCTATTTTGCAAAACAGCTTGCCTAATGCTATTGTTGCCGTGGGATTTAGGTGCTGAAAAAATCTCCGGAGCAGTTAATTAGGGGTGAGATAAGAAAGGGTTTATTTGCCAAGGCTAAGATGTTACAAGACGCTCGCGTACCCCTGTGCCCGAGAGGTTACATTTTATAACATCATCCATCCAATCCCAGATGTATCCACCCTGTGGCCTTTCCTCTGGACCGCCCCGGGGTCCACCCCCTGAAAATGAGTCCGGGGTGCATTTCGGGACCCTCCATTCATCCCATCTTCATCATCATCAGAGCACAAAGGGTACATAGTTACCTAATTCTTGACTTCATTCTGTGGTTTAGGTCCAGATATGCTGTTCTGTCAACTGTCTAGGCCTTGCCTTGACAAAAGACTAAACATTTCTATTGGATTCAGGAGTAGGGTTGATATAGGGAGCATAGAATGGGGTAAGAGGGTTAAGGAATGTATAAACAAGGGTGCTACAGGGAAAGGGAGAGGGACAAGGGACAAAGAAGAGAGGGTTTCTACTTTTAAAATCTACTTCCACTGCTTATAAAACTTACAAGTCTTACAAATATTAAAAGAAATAAAAAAAACATTAGGGGCTTAAGGCATCACTATCAACATCATTTGTTAGTTCAGTTAAAATTTTTGATGTTATGTTTAATTGCTTAGCAGCCCAACATCCTAACCTTTTAATTTCTTTCAACACTTTTGCAGTGCCAATTGGTGCTAAAAAGGAAACAATTATGTTGGTTGGAATGTCCCACAATTGAACATTATCATTACAATCTGACCCTAGTTGATGCACATTTCGCTTGGTTCTACTCTTTGTTCCATGTGGTTCTTGAAAACTTTTATTTTGCAAATGAAACTTCATTTAACTCAGGGTTATGTGCCTCCCACTCTTTATCCAAAGGTGCTTATGCATATGTGAGGTAATATGGTTTACGCATTTGTGAGTAAAACCAGAATATATTACTAATCATATATTCATACATTCACATGCATGCATTCACACAACTTTCATGTGTGATGGCCATCACTTCATACTCTCACACAAACATACTTTTGAGTTGTATTTTACTGTGTTTTCTGGTTGTGGACTGAGAAATTATCATTCTTGTGTTTTACCCTCAGATGAGTAAGATCTAATTATGCATTTCTTGTTTTTATGAAAGTATAACTTGGAAAACATAAACATATTTCTGCTTCACGTTCAATTCAAAACCCAAATACATACAAACATTCTTATAGTTTAAAGATAAATATATACTCCTATTTTTAAAGCAAAACTTCTCTATGCAAATGGGCTTTTGGACTTCAAAGAGAACTTGTCAGTAGTCACTACAAAAACTTCAAAAGCTCCACTTCTCCACCACATTTAAAACAATTCTGGCTATTTAGGAAAGCAACCTCAAGAAACAGTCAGTAAGACCATCTCATGAACTTATCTTTCCTCACTCCCCCCCCCCTTTTTTTTTTATTGAAATTAAACTGTGAGGTTAGTTGTTACATGAATAAAAAGTTTAGCTTTGTTGACTTGGAGCTTAGTGTCCTGTGTAAGGACAGGTTTTTATATGATTTGCCCATGGCGTGCTGTATCTCGGGGGTCTGTCTTAACATCATCTTCTTTTTCACTGTTTCTGTCAAATGTTTTTGGAGAGTTGTCAACTAATAGCAAAATACCAATTAATCTCAAGTTATACAAGATGGTTGTTTCAGGGACGAAGTTCCCATCTATCAGCTCTTGCATCATCCAATTAAGCACAAATACATTCCCATCGCATAGTCTGTGGTTGGACCATGCCATTGTTGAACAATTTAAGCAACATATTGATGAAAAACAAGGAAAACAACATAGAATATCTACAACGAAGGACTAATAGTAAAAGGGTAGACAATAATATCTTTGTAACCATATCCATCTTTAGTGAAGAGATTGGAATAGGTTCTAACTGTTCCTGCTTCATTGGGTCAACCAGGGTCACTTGTATGCTATACTGTGGTTGTAGGTAATCGTAATCTCTTTGCAGTCAACATACAGGGGGTCAGCATCCTACTGTTGAATGTAGACGTAATCTCCAAGTTGGAATAGATGAACAGGAGTGTTTAATCTCCCGGGTTTGGATTACAGAATGAATCAGTGGAATTTCTGCAAAGTAGAGTCTAGACTATTGTCGCAGTCTGAGTGAGACTCGACTGTTTGCTAAAGAGGATGAGTTACAAGGTAGACCAAACTCGTCTCTCTCTGCAATTATAATGTCAAATTAAGGGACTTTACTCGAGGAAAATGTGGAAAAACAGAAGAAATAACAACCCTTTATTAAAAGATATATGTATGTTGGCAAAAACAGTAACAAGAAACAACAATAACAACAACAAGTCTAAATGAATACTCCCCTGTCCGTTAGCACAGTCCTAATTGTGGCCTGCTGGGGATGTTGTTGGATCGCTGGAAGGTGCAGGGTCTGCAGCGCCCTGTTGTGGCCTGCAGGGGGTGCTGTGGGATCGCTGGAGGGTGCAGGACATGCAGTACCTGGTCGTGGTCGGCAGGGGGCGTTGTGGGTTCTGGTAGTCACCCCGCGGGAAGAGGGGCTGGAGAGAGCGGTCCCGGACCACGTGGGGAAACCGAGAAGGAGATGGGGGGGTCCTCGCTCCCGTGGGAACGAAAAGGAAGGCAGGTAGTGCACTCCCACGGGAACTCAGGATGAGAAGTCGAGCTGACCAGGATGAACAGCCAAAAAGAAAACCCAGACCTCCGGTCCCCCTCCCCCAAAAAAATGCCTGTGTGCACCAAGGGAACCAACAACCCAGCTTGCGTCCTCGCCTCCGACCCGAACCAGCCCCCCGACCCAGCCCCCCGGCCCGCTCCCCCACCCCGACCACTCACCGTAGTTAATCGCCCATTAAACAGATGAGTCAGTTCCTTTGTAAGGCTAATCAACTCTCTTCACCCTTCAAACTCTGTTTTCTCTTACAGGGAAAACAGGGGAAGGGAAAAATTCCTCTCTCAGATTTATAACCCATAACATTATCTACCCCTAATTTTTCTTTCCCATACTTTCACACGTTATCAGATTAAATCTTTGAACTTCATACGTACATGCATCATCCTAACTATGTACACATCCACTAATAGGTAGATACAGATACAGAGTTACATACAGATACAAGTATACAGTTACAACCAGTTTATCCAAGAATAAGGTCTCCTTGAGGTATGCACCGAGTTTCTCCATCTTCCTGCATCACCCACCAGGTGCAGCCGGGCCCTTGGGCAAAAACAATCCAACGAATGGGTTTGCTTTTGCTTGAGGCAGGGTTAATCCAAACCTTTTTCCCTAACACACCCCTCGCGTGAATCACGGAAACCTTATCTCCATCCACGGTGTGGAGGGACTCTGATTGGGCAGGGTCGACTTGGTTGATAGAACCTCTGGTGTTAACTAACCATGTAGCCTGTGCTAGATGCTGATCTCAGTGTTTGTCTGTCTCTTCACCCAGCGCCTTCAGGGTGGTTTTCAACAGTCCATTATGTCGTTCAACTTTCTCTGCGGCTGCTGCGTGGTATGGGATGTGGTACACCCACTTGATGCCA